GCATCTATTGATGTAATCACTTGGGAGAGGGAGGAGGAGAGGGAGTGTTATGTTCATAGTATTATATTTATATAGTCTTGCTGCTCTTGAACCAGTCTTGGTAAAAAAAAACAAAAAACAAAACTCTGCCTGCTTGTGATGATGAATTTTATATATGGATGTACTGCTTTATTCAATTATTATTTTACTTATTATTTTTGAAACTATATTCACATTTTTTGTTGTTCAGTTCTTCAAACAAGTCCAACTCTTTGTGACCCCATGGACCACAGCTGCCAATACCATCCATGAGGTTTTCTTGGCAAAGATACTGGAGTGGTTTGCCATTTCCTTCTCCAGTGGATTGAGGCAGAGATTAAGTGATTTACCCAGGATCACACAGCTAGTTAAGTGTCTGAGGCAGGATCTGAACTCAGCTTTTTCTGATTCCAGGCCTAGTACTCTATCCAGTGAGCCACACAGCTGCCTCTACTAGATAGTACTTCTTTTAGATAATACACACACACACACACACACACACACACACACACACACACACACACACACACACACACACACACACACTCACTCACACTCTTCATATATATACAAATACTTTTGGAACAAAGATTAGAACATTTGAAGTTATTCAACTTTGAATCTCACCAGGTAAGGGTTATATAAGACAGTTTGTCTTCTCTCAAGAGTTTAAAATATTAATTTAAAATATATTCAAATAGTTGATTTTCTATTTGCCAATTCAGTTCATTTATAATTTCAAATAGCTGTTTTAATGATGACATTTCCTCCTCTTTTTGGCAGATTACAGAGGTGGTAGATTACAAGTCTGAAATTTTGCATATGTTGTCAGATGAGGTAACTTTGTCCCTTGGTTTTATTTAAGTGTTTTTCTCTGTTATGAAAGGGAGTTCAGTGGTGAGTATGGGGAAAGTGGTATAAAGGAATATAATTTTAATGTAAATAATAAAAGGTATTAATAAAAAAATTTAAAAATATAGCTATGTGGTACAACCTAATATTTTAAATTTATTTTCTCTTTATTGTTATCTCTCATTTTTATATGCTGACTTGCATTTTTCTCTCCCATTAAAAATAAATTCAATGTTTTGTCAATTTGGCAGAGTTTTCAATGAAACATTTCTTGGTTTTATTTTTCAATTCAACATTTTCATTTTCTATTCTAACTTTTCTACTCTTTACTTCATAATCTGTTTTTAATATTTCCATTGGATTGTTGCTTTGTTCCCTTTCTTATGCTTTTAAGGGAAAGTTAAATCTATTTATTTTTTATTTTTACTAAATTTGCTTCTAAGAATACCTTTAGCTACATGCGATATATTTGATATGTGACATTATTGATGCAATTTTCTCTTACAGTCTATATTGTTTTTTAATACCCAGCAAAAGCTCCGAGCTCACTCTTCCAACACACACTTATACTTCCAGAAAGGATTCCTAATGATGTGGCTGGCAACATCTCTCCTTCAGGGCTCTCGGGGTCCCAGAGAAGTTTGACAACGCTAAAACTAAATCACTGAAATAAAGATATGAATAATTGGAGAGATATTTGTTTTTCATGAGTGTTAGATTAATATAATAAAAAGACATTCCATTCCATATTAACTTAAATGACTGCTAAAATTAATAAAATCTATGTATATGTGAATATATCTTCAGTGTGAACACTTTCACTAAGCACTGGTATGCTTCAGTTGATTTTACAATTTTTAAAATATGATAATTGTCTAATAAATTATTACTTAGTTTACGTGTAATTTTATATTTTTTCTCTTTTTAATGTTATTTCTTTTTTTCCTCTCATTTTGATCTGAAAGTATTGAATATGATTTTCGAATGTGTAAACCTCTTACACATTTTTGTGGGCATTCCATGGGCACTTGAAAAGTTTATGTATAAGTGCAAATACATACATACATACATATACATATATATATATGTGTGTGTGTATGTATGTATATGTATATATGTATGTATATGTGTATATGTGTATATATATATACACACACATATATATACAAATATATAGAATATGTACATTACTTCTCACACTTAGTTTTCTCTGTGTATCTGAAATTCCATTTTGACTATTAAGCATTTTTATCATTCTCTTTATTTCCTTTGCCACATTTTTGTAATACTAGAAGCTGCCTATTATGTTTTGTCTATATCATTTTATGTAACTGTTAATCTTTTAATGAATTTATCAAAATGTGTGGTTTTAAACTAAGGATTGTTACATATCTGGTATTCATTTTTTGTTCCCCACTCAAGTCCTTGCATGTTTTAACATTTCAATTTATTTCTAATTTTAATTCAATTTTATTAAGTATATTACTAAAACTTTTGATTTGTTAAACTTATATTTGGATGATTTATTTTAGATCAAATTCTTAATTTTAATCTACACACATATACACATATACACATTAAGGATGCTTCCTGAAAACAATATCAATGAATTTTGCTTCTTGATTCATTCTGTAAGATGGGAGTGCAGTTAGAATGTGGTAGATTTGTAGATGAAGACATATGATCCTAGGCAGGGCAGAGCCAAGTGCTTTAGCTTCACTCAAGTATAAACCAAGGTACTGGTATAAATTTTTTGACAGGACAATAGGATAAAGCTTAGTTTAAATGGGGGAATATGGCCCAATGTTTTGAGTATCAGCCTATAAATTAAGATATCATGAATTCTGATTCCAATTCTACAATGGTGATAACACTGTATTTAGTAATATGACTAAGCTGATTTTAAAGGAATATATCACAACTTATAAACTCAAATATACATTGTTTCTCAAAATAGTCATGGTTTTACCAATGATTTCATTAAACTGCCACTAACTCAATATATGTTAAAATTCCTTTTTCAAAATTATCATCAATGTTAGTTGACAAGGTCCACAAGAAAAAAAGTCTTTCTATGACTTTTCTAGTTATATGTGGTTATTTTCCTTTGTTTTTAAAATAAAAAAAGTATTACTCACCTTGAATACTCACCATATTTATGAGACTTAGGTATAAATAAGTTTTGATTTTTTCCAAAAATTCAATCTACCCTCAAAGACCAAATATTTGCCACAATTAAGATTATGCAAGATAGCAATGTTGTGGTACTACATATACATTTCTATAATAGAATTATTAGGAAAGGGACAATATTACTTTCAATATATACTTTTTGTTAGGTAAAGATAATAGATACCAAATATTCTATAGATAACATTTCTATTTATGTTGTTTGAAAAATCAAAGATGTTCATATTTCAAGAGGTAGAGCAATTTCTTCTAAAGAGTTTTTCTTCTATGTAGAGGTGCTAAATTTCTGGACTTTGATACAATTTTATTAGGATTTTTTTTCCCTCAAGTCCAAAAAACCCCCAAAAAACCCCAACCCCAAACTTTTTTTTTTAAAAAAGGATTTCAGAAATCTGTTGAATATTGCATCTAAGTAGCACAATAAGGCAAAATACTATATTATTAATATTTATGCTAGGATTTTAAGGCAGGAGAAGAGGATAGGGGAATTTCTGAGACAAACAAAAAAAGCAATTTCTTCATACCTTGAACCATTTAGAGGCCAAATGATTGGTCTTATGGACTAAATCACTGAATAGCTTCACACAGGGAGTAGCAGAAAAGCAGAAAACAAGATAAATAAGAAAGAAAAAGCATGGTATTAAAAGCAAATTATAATCAGGTCAGGCAATAATAAGCTTGAAAAATAAACACAATTGACAGCAGCATGCAACCAATGTAGTGAAGAGAAATACACCTAGAATATTGATAAAACCTACTGCTAAAATTAATAAAATCTATGTATATGTGAATGTATCTTCAGTGTGACCATTTTCACTAAATAAAGACTGAAAGGTGAAAAGCAAGGAATAAAAGAAATTTCAAGGAGGAAAAAATTAAAACTTTTTAAAATAAAGGAAAGAATGTGGGGTGGGGGGAGAATGAGTGAAATATAACTCAAAGGAAATCCCCTTCCAGTCTTGGACCAGTGGCTGCTTGCCATTCCTCCACTACTTAAGCTCAGTTGAATTGGTAAACAGGGAATTATTCAATAAGGAAATTGACACAACATTTGTCTAGGAGCAGAGCAAGGAAGACCACTCACTTTGAGACCTGATAAATTTTCCAATGGTATCGCTAAAAAAAAAAGTCTTATCATGAGAAAGCATCCTTGTGGTTATATGCATAAGACCGCCTCCAAAATGAAGGTTCTTCTTATTTCTCGACTTGCTGCAAAAGGAAAAATCTCATAAAAACTATACCAAATATTCCCAACCTAAGGCAGCAAAATCAACCAAACAAAAGTTGATTAAATTCACAAATGTAGTTAACTCAGTAAGGGAAAAGGATAACTGATATAAGGCCCCTTCAGTGAACATGAAAAAAAATGGCACTTTATTCTTTTTAACTTTTCCTTGCTAATTACCTTTTGAATGTTCTTATTAATGAAGAACAGAAAGATGGGGTAGTGGGATAAAAAATAAATTTAAAAAATGTAAACTGAGAGCCTGAGTTGTTTTAATGAGTATAGAGAATAAAAAAATGAAAAAGTTATGTTCCCTGCTCTCAAAGAGCTTACAATATAATAAATATGAAAATGCATAGGCAGAAGAATTATTCAAAATACTGTTCAATGAAAACTCCATTTCAATGTTTAATTGGTTTCCATGATTCCAGTAGCTAAGAAGATGCATGAAAACGTATAAAACCAATGCCTCAGAGAAGAGCACCATCACAATGTGACTTCAAAGTATACATGTGTATTTAAATTCCCACACACTTATATTAAAGAGATGCTTCACCAATTTTGGGAACACTGACCCTGACCCTGGAACACTTAAACATGGCCAAGCGTTGAGATCTGCAAAACGTAAGATGTGACTTAGAACTAAGAAGTTACCAACTGAACGGCACCTTAAATTCACTGAGCAGAAATGCCAGTGATTCACAAAATAGCAGACCTGTTTTTCAGCACTGGTTCTGGCTGACTCCTCTTGAGCTAGCACCATTTCTCGTTCAGCAGTTATCTGTACACTTTCTCTTAGTGCCTCTTCTAATTCTTCAATTCTGTCATCCTTCTTACGGAGATTGTCCTGGAAAATGATGGAAGACGGGATGAAGGAGACCAATGCAGACCAAAAGAAGAACTTGTTTTTCAAGAAAGTGATCATGGCTAAAACAATTCTTTCCTCCCAGAAGCAAATTCATGAAGCAGAAAAAAAAGTATCCACAGAGGAAAGGAAAGAAGAAAGGAAGGAAGAGGAAGCAATAAAGACTGAAGGGACGAGCAAGCAAAGCAAGACAAACATGCTGGATGATGAACTTGCGTGATGCAACAGCACCAATAAAATTGCTTGTGTTAGCATAGGTAGCAGAGTTTCTTTATTAAGGAATATAGACATTTTGAAACCCAGATTATGGGTTTATAGCCAACTAAAATGGAGCCCATATGGCTAAACTGAAGGCCCATGTACTTTGTTTCTTGGCAAGTCATACTAAGTGGAGGTAAAGAAGTGCATAGTCTTTATTATTCTCACAAAAAAAATTCTGGGAAATTCATACTTTAAAGAAGAAAATCAGAGATGTTTGGGGAATATATAGTTTCATATGATTCCAGAAAAATCTTTTTTGTACACTTATTGAAAACCCCCACTGAAACATAAGTGAGAATTTTGGCCTCTGTGTTTCAACTCATCACTGGTCCTTGACAATTCTTCATTAGCAGGTAGGTTCATTTGTTTTGAAAGGAATCTGTCCTCAATACTGCTGAAGTTATAATTTATTCATAAGAAGGCCGTCAGAAAGTCAAGGAAACTAATCCAAAGTCCCAAGATACTAAGATAACTGATCATGAATGAGATCTTGAAAGAAGAATAAGTGATCCTGAGATAAAGCATACTGAAGGACTGGATTCACTCAATTCACAGTTACAACAGCCAACATGTCTCCCAACTTCACTGTCATGCCTGGCCCAAAGGACTGAGAAAATGCGCTACTTCTTAAGAATCAGGAAAAAATGATTTGCTACTTTCAATAATAATGATGGAATTCAAAGAATGAAAAGGGGAAGGGATTAAGAGCTCTATTTTGTGCAACTCACTAATTTATTTTACTATTTATTTTTATATGTGAAAGAGCACGATGTGAGTTTGTCTTCTGAGTCTTGACCTCACGATCACTTCTAGGTAAGAACTTCTCCTATCTGTGGGCTAGGAGGCAGAAATTGAAAGGACAAACATATTTAATAGTTTACTTTAATTCTAAGATAAAAAGACTTAGTAATCTTTTGTTTACTATTTTTGCTGGGAATAAGAAAAACTTCAGAATGACATTCAAACCTAGTTAACATTTGAAACTATTTATCACTTGAATTTGATTCTGAAACAATATCAAAAAGATATTGCTCTTCTTCTGGGTTGAAAGTAGAACTAAACGAAAAAACTGGGAAGAAGATAAGAATGTAATTAATGATAGTTCAATCTCCTCAAATACCTCTCTAATGGATAGCCTTGTCAGCAATAACATGAAATGTTGAAATTTAATATAGTTTTTTTTAAACAAATTACTTCCCAAGATCCAACTGCTAACAGTTTCTTTCATTATAATTTTATCTTCATGAATACCATTTTTTTTTTAGTTAGACATAGTATTCTAAGAGCAACTAGGTAAAAACATCAGGATAAGTTAAGCTTTTATTTGCTCTATTGTACAGGGTAAGAAACGGTTTAGAGAGCTAGTAATCTGTGAAGGATTAGTAGCAAAGTGATGGGTAAAGAACTGCTAAAGAAGGATCAAAGAAGTCTAAATGATGGAAACTGTAAAGTGACTTGCTATATTTACATAAAACCAGTGATTAAGGTCAGCTCATAGTTCAGTTCATAGAGAAAGTCCATTTGATTGGATGAAAGTCCTTTGACTATATTGACAGAGATCAGTTTCAAACTTTTTATTTCCCATATGAAGAAAAAGAACAAGTGTCACGGGAAATAAAAAAGGCAAAAAAAAAAAAAGAGGGGAGGATAAAATAATATTTTATTATATAATTGATATAAATACCTTACCTAAAATGAGTGTCAGTAGACATTTTCAGTGAACTAAAATAAGCCAGAATAGTCACAAAGCAAACACTGATGACAGAGATCTTATTCCTCAGAACACAATAGGAAGAATTCATTCAATAAATAAAAGTTGGCTGTAATTGTTTTTTTGAAACTTAATAACAAACCTATTAAGAGGAGCAATAGAGTTTCTTTTCCCTTTTATTTACTTTATATTCAGACCTTCCATCTAACCCAAAAATATAGGGAGATAGTTCCAGAAATGAGTCAGGTAGGCAGTGCAGTGGATGTAGCGCTGGGCCTAAAGTCAGGAAGACTCATCTTACAAATTTCGAATTTGGCCTCAGACATTTACTAGCTCTGGGACCCTGGGCAAGGCACTTAACCCTGTTCTGTAAATCTGTAAAACAAGCTGGAGAAAAAATGGCAAACCACTTCAGCATCTTTGCCAAGAAAACTTCAAATGGGGTCATGAAAAGTCGGACATGGTTAAAACATCTGAATAACCAAAAAGGCCCAGAAAATAAACAGTGTAACTTTGTGATACCTCACAACAATGGTGTTCCAAAACAAATACTTTTTAATTGCTTGCTTACTATTTCAATGGAAAATGAGCATCTATTTCATATGGAGTTTTATTTGAATACACAACATCTTTTTTAAAAACCTTAATATAAAAAAATACAATTATTTTTCATTTGTGGTAGGGGAATTTCTTGGAATTGAGAATCCTACAAAAAAGAAAGGGTCTTAAGAGAGAGATAAAATTTCTCATTTTAAAACAGGTTTCTGATGATATGTTGGTAGCTAGTTTCATATTTAGTATATTCACCTATAAATAAAAATTTCATCATAAAAAAAATTAGTAATTCTTGGCAAATCCTGTAAACCAAAAAAGACATTGGCAAGAAAACTTATAACAATGGGCATTCCATATTGCTCCGGAAACAGACAATGACAAAAATGCACTGGACCTTTGAAATCATCTCATGAAACACCTCCACATGAGAAAATTAAGGCTCAAGGGATATTAAGTTATTTATCTACTGTAATACCTACTTAGCACACATGACAAATCTAGCAAAAGTTGAGCAACAATGCAATAACAAAAATGACTGGTATTATAGATTATTGTCACTAATTAATACTGATGAAAATATTTTGAATAAAACTTCATCAAAGAAAATCCAGGAATAATTCACAATAAAAGAGTTGAATTTGAACCAGGCATGCTACATTATTTAAACATTAGGAAAAGAAATAGCATAATTTACCACGTAAACAACAAAGTCTTAAAATAATTGCAGACAATATAAAATACTTGGGAGTCTACCTGTCAGCACAAATCTTGGGACTATATGAACACAGTAACAAAATACTTTTCACACAACAGATCTAAACAACTGAAGAAATATTAACAGTTCATGGAGAGGACAAACCAATATAATAAAAATAATCCTAAGTTAGTTTACTTTTTCAGCACCATACCAATCACACTACCAAAGAATTGTTTTATGAACTGGAAAAAATAATATAAAAATTCAACTGGAAGAACAAAAAGTCAAGAATATCAAGGAATTCAATGAAAAAAAGGTGAAGGGAGGTGACCGAGCAGTACCAGATTTCAAACTATATTACAAAGTGGCAATCATCAAAACAATCTGGTCCTGCCTGAGAAACAGAATAGTAAATCAGCTGAATAGATTAGTTACACAATACACAGTACAAAGTATCCATAGAAACCTAGTGTTTAATGAAGCCAAAGATCCAAGTATTGGGGTAAGAATTCACCACTTGACAGAAGTTGCTGGGAAAAATGGAAAGCAGTTTGGAACTAGGCATAGTTTCAGACCACATACAGACCACACTCTATACCAAGATAAGATTAAAATGGATAAGTGATTTAAACATAAAGAGCGAAATCATAAGTTATTTAGGGGAGCATGAAAAAAATGTACCTGTCAGATCTATGGTTTAGGGAAATGATTTAAGTTAATTTAAGTTTAAATTTTCCTTCTTATTTTCATCACATACTGATCTTTCATATCTTAGAGGGGACCACACCTGCTCACATGGGAAAAGAGAAGATATCATTCCATCCTGTTCCTTCAACCTACTTGACTGGAGGTAAAAGGAGAAGCATCATTCCATCAATTCCTCCTGCTAGTCCCCTAGTCTGAGCTATTTAACACCCTGGGAGGATTCCACCTTGAAGATGAAGCCTGTACAGATGTTAATAACCAAATTCCCACTCTGTTATATCCTCCACATCTCAGAACACCCAGATCACATTATTCAAAGCCCTTTCTCCCTCGTCTACTTTCTATTCCCTTCCCCCTCAAGCAACCTGCTCCAACCCCCACAATATCTTACACTAAAGCTATCCACCCCTTCCACTTTGCTCTCTGGGATGCTTGCTCCATAGTAACACACTTGCTTTCATTTCAAATTTTTTCCTTTTGTATTCCTTTCATCCATAGGCTGTCACTGAGACCTCACTCCCTGCAAAAAACAGCTTCCTTGGACTCCATTCTAGACCTGGTAGTATTGCCCCAAAAAGGTCAAAGTCAGGGAGTTGGAATCCATACTGTTCTCTATTGTCACTTCCAGGCTCACTCTCTATCACCTTTACTCCACCTTTGAGGTTCATTCAATCCATTCATGCCACTAACAAGCAATCGCCAATTATCCTAACTTATGTCTTGTTACTGGAATCCGAATGATGAGGAGAGAGTGAGGCTGATGACTTTGCACATGCTTCCATACTTAAATCCAAGTCACTTGCAAGTCAAGACATTACCCTCCTGATGTCAATGGTCCTCTTCGAGAACAAAAGAATAACAACAAACAATATTTGCTACCCAATCAAAATTCTGGTAACTATTTGCTACCAACCTTCAGGATACTCTCTTTCTTTCCTCAGTGAGTTCAGTGGCTGGCTCATAGTCATTCTCTTCACCTCAACCTCTGTGCTCACACTAGGAAATTTCCAACATGCCTACTGATACGGGCTCAAACATTTTAACCTCATTAGA